TATTAATATCAGACCAAAAAAAGAACCTAATGAACGTTTTAGACAAATTAACTATGAGGGAATTGTAGGTGAGCTCTGTATAAGTTTAGTCCAACAGGTACAGAGAACAGAATTATCCTCAAACCCACAAAGTCTCTCTTGTGGAAATCTTTCTCATTCCAGGATTGTTCAACAGTTAGAATGCTGTAATAAAAAAAATTGCAAAAAAAAAAAAAAAAAAAGGGGGGGGGGACACAAGGCAGTGTCCTTTTAATTTTTGATAGCAAGGAGATCAACTTCAAGTAGGAATTTAACAGCCAGGCGATGGAGGAAAATGTATGTCTGTGAACATTATCAGTTTAGAGCAGGGGTGTCAAACTGGTTCCATAAAGGGCCGTGTGGCTGAAGGTTTTCTTTCCAAATAAGCAATAGCACCGCAGACTCCAGTCACCTAATCTAGTGAGTCCAATCTGAACATGATGACTTGATGATATGAATGGAGTCTGGTGTGCTATTGTTTGGTTGGAAGGAAAACCTGTAGCCACACGGCCCTTTCTGGAACCAGTTTGACACCCCTGGTTTAGAGGATGCTTTCTTTTAATGTGGGTTTGTACTTTTGTATCCTCTGTCACTAGAAATACTTTGCAGCTGTTCTCATCAATCACTTAAATAAACATATCTCTCTAAACATTTCACAAACATGTTTACCTGATCTGAGTAAGCAGTGCTTACTTAATCTTACATTTTATTTTCAGGATTTGAGAGAAAACTCAAATCATTTGGCAAAATCTAAAGTAGTTCAACTGAGATGTGCTCTAAATGGATATTAGTTATGCAGTATAGTCCAATAGAATGGCTTGTAGCTTCTGATAAAGCTCATTCAGATAAAATATATTTTGAAACATAAGAGATAACTGTACTAAAATAGCTTTCATTGGTCTGATGAAATATTCTAATTTCAACTGTAGTGTTTCCATTAGCTGTACAAGGAAAAACAAACACAATTAGCAAAATAAATGTTTAAACCATCATTCTATGTAAATAATTTATATAGTGTAATTCACTTAGTAAATGAAAAACTAAAACATAATAATATTTCAGTATCATAATTTATTTATTTGCATTGTCCTCACATATATTATTATATTAATATATATCTTATATTTATATATAAATACATAGATATTTACCTTCAGAAATATATATAATAATTTTTGTTTGTCAGTTTCTAAATCCTGATTCTTTTCTCATCTTTTTATGCTTCCCATCAGTAACAGGATACAATGATCCAAGGAAGCAGCTGAATGAATAAGGTTAAGGGAATTTAACAAACCAAGACATCATTTCTCAGGAGCTGTCTTTTTGAGTTGACGTCTATTACTTTTGAGGTGTGGCACTGCTCTGTCATCTCTCAGCTGTATTGTTACTATATTTTATGATATCTATCTCTGAGCAGAGCGGTGTGAAAACATATAGAATTACTTTTAGTTCAATTTAACGTATGAGCCCATGAGTCATGTTACATGTTGAAAGGACTCCCTCGTAGCCTTTCCTATTATTACTTTTCCTACAGATTCCTACCACCTTTTTCCTTTTCTTTAAGGTGCCAGAATAAGAATGAATGGCTTGATACCAGGGAATCTAGTAATGGAGCACAGGGTCTAAAACAGAAGCTGGACATTTTTTAAACAATGGCAAATTTAACTTTAAAAAAGGTCAACTTCTTTTAAATTACTGGTATAAACTATGGGGTAATTTGTTGAAATGAATATGTTTTAATGGCATAATTACACTATTTGACTGCACACAATATATTGCTACAGTTGCTGCTACGATCTTCCTGAGTAGTTCATCATCTAAATGTGTTCCTTAGGACTGCAGACCTTCATTACCCTGAACTCTAATTATTTGCATGCATGGCACAATGCTAACTGTTTCATATTTAATGCTTCAACATCAGCCCTAACCAAATGCTTATTATAAATCACCATATGAACCACAGTTAGAGTAGTAAAGATTAAACCCAACATAAATGAAACCATCAGAAATTTGTAAAATGATTATTTGAAACTTAGAGCTGATATTATGCTTTCTTTATCGAAGGTCGCACTAAAGTTGATTACTTTTCCCAGCAGTCATTGCTGCAGTTAAATCAGCAATCACATCTCAGTTACACGAGATGTTCTATTGATTTTCTGATAAAGTTCATATCATACATTCTATTTATGTACAGTAGTACCAGATATTCTACATAATTTCATCTATACTGTATAAACAAAGCAGTAAGCCATCTACTCAGGCATTAATATAAAAATCCTTCTTCAATGCTATTAAATAGAAAACATCTTTATTGCCTAAGCAAATTTCCCTTTTAATTCTTCAATTACTGTTGTTATTTATTTTCTTTGTGAAGCTTATTTAAAGGCACACTATGCAACATTTTTCAGTTAA